GGATACAGGTTTTTCATGAGCACAAGTAAGTGTTCTTGAATTCTCCATTCTCAGTGTCAGCTATAATTCATTGTGATCTCCACATAGTCAAATGCTTTTTTAAAAAATAAATCTATATTCTTTTGGTACTCTGTACTTTCTGTCTGATATCAGCAATGATATCCCTCATGTCACAGCTTCTTCTAAATTCATCCTGAATTTCTAGCAGTTCCCTGTTGACATACTGTTCTAGACATTTTTGAATGATCTTCGATAGGATTTTATTTGCATGTGGAATTAATGATTTTGTTTGGTAATTTTCACATTCCGTTGGATCAACTTTTTTGAGAATGGAAACACATGGATGTAAAATGACTGACTTTTGTACAAGCAATAATTTATTCACTACAAATAGCTTTTTTAAAGACCACAAGTAACATCTACACACATGAATCTCATCTAATGGACTACCCAGAAATAAGATTGACTAAATCTATGGGGCGGGGGGGAATTGTTGGAGAAGCTCAATATCAGTAGTCAAAACAGGATGCTGAGAACACACCATCAGTTATACACGTGCAAGTTCAAGTTGAAGCTAAAGAAAATTAAAACAATTCCACAAGAATTAAAACACAATCTTGAATATATCCCATCTGAATTTAAAAACCATCTCAAGAACAGATTTGAGCCATGGAGCACCAATGATTGAAGGCCATCTGAGTTGTGGAAGGACATCATTCATGAAGAAAGCAAAAGTCATTACAAAGATGGGGAGAGAGGAAACACTAAAATGGATGTCAGACGAGACTTGGAAAATTAAATTAGATTGTTGAGAAGCAAAAACAAAAGAATTGTCAAAGTAAAAGGAATAAATAGACGATTTCAAAAGGCAATGCAAGAAGACAAATCTAAATATCATGAAAGAGCCGGAGTTAAAAGAGAAGAATTCACTGAACACTCTTTAAGCTGAGATAACTGAAAAACAAATATAATCCATGCATTGAAATACTGAAGGATGCCAAGGGCAAAATGATGATGAAAGGAAGCATCAAAATAATATGGAAGGATCCTCCTACAAAGGTGTGCCTGTGGTTTTCTGTCCTTGGACACATAAGTATTGGAGTAAAAAAAATAAGGACTTGGAAGAGTCTAGGATCAGCTTGCTCCTTGCAGGCTCAAGCTCCCCCATCCAACATTGAGGGGGAACAAAAAGAAGATGGAAGGAATAATACACAGAACCATTTGGGGAGAGTATAATCAAGAACAAGGGTGATGAAGGAAGAAGTTGAAGCTGCATGGAAGGCATTAGCAAAACATAAGGCTACAGGAATTTATGAGATTACAGTTGACATATTTTACTAAACAGATACAGCCCTAAATGTGTTTACCAAGCTACCAGGAAATTTGGTGGACAGCTAACTGACCAACCAATTGGAAAAGAATAACACATAACTTATTTGGTTTATAATCCTCGGGATAATTCTAAATAAGTATTTGAAGGCTTTTAAAGATAATCATGATGATAATGGTTGATGATCATCATCATCATAAATAGTATTAACATACAGCATATCTTGAGCAATTCCTAGAGTATTGTATAAAACACTTTACAAGATGTTCTGACAAGTTCATCATGTGTTGTGTTGCAAGATGAAAAGTTATGTATGTGTCACCAGTCCCAGCTACTTTAAAGGGGAAAGATGGGCAGGATTGTCCTGTTCAGATTTGCAGCTGCAGAAACCTAATGGAGTGTTGCTATGAGTTGGAATTGACTCAATGATATTGACAAGTATTTTATACTTTTAGCTCAGTAATCCTAACAATTGCTTAATGAGGTAGGTACTTCTCAAATATTTATTTTACAAATAATGAAATGAAAAAGTACAGAGACGAAGTAGTTTGTCAGCAGAACCAGCTGGAAGTGATTTCTAATGTTTCATCAATATTATTAGGAAAATACATGATGTATGATGAATACTTATGTTCTTGTTGTTACGTGCCATCGCCTCTACTCCAACTCTTGGTGCCCCTATGTACAACAGCCCTATTCCCTGCTCTAGCTTGAGCCAATTTCATTATCTCTGACACACCTACCCCCCCACTACGCCAGTCACTGAGTCAATCCATCTCATCCAGGTTCTTCCTCTCTTGTGCTGTGCCTCCACCATTCCATGGATGATGTTTCCCCCCAAGGACTGTTCCCTCTTTGCACCATCGTCAAAGTATGCCAGATGGAGCTTCAAAATCCTTGCTTCCAAGGAGCAGCCTTGTTTCACCAAGTCCAGGACAGACCTGTTGTTTTGTTTTGTTTATTTTTTTCTTAGCAGTCCATGGTATATTCAATACTCTTCTCCAACACTATAATTCAAAGGTATCTATTCTTCTTCTATCATCCTTAGTTATTGTCCAGCTTTCTGATGCATAGCAAGTAATTGCGAAGATTCTGGCCTGGATTAGACACACCTTAGTCTAGTCTGGTATTAATTCTCTTCAGTACTCTGGTGAGGTTCCTGACAGCAGATTTTCCCAATGCAATTTGTCTTTTGATTTCCTAGCTGCTGGTACGTAGGAGAGCTCTACAAAACAAAGAAGCCCATGTGACTTCGTGCAACATAATATTGAAATGTTTTAACTTCCAACACATTATTCCTGATGAAACTGTGGTCTTCAAAGTTTGAAGGAGTGTGACAAGATTCATACCTTTTAAAAAGAATATTCTTTGATCAATCCTGTGTGGTAAATATAAGATAGAGATGTAAATATATTCCTCAGAGACACCTTATATTCAGACAACTCCAACTCATGAAAAGATATCTTTGAATGATAGGACAAAATCCAGCAAAACCAGCCAGAAGCCGAGTCCAGATTGGCATCATCGGGCAGTCTGACTGCTGATAAAGTTTCCGGAAGCAGTTCTCTAGCATCAAGTCAATGAGCCACATCTTGGTTTGTAGGATGAGGTAAACAGGAAGGTGTTTTGTCAGAGAAGATTTTGGAATCTAGATATAAAACAATTGTTCCCGATACATTCTTATATGCAAAGGTATCATTTTAACTCACTCTTTACTCACCATGTCTTTCTTTCCATGGTTGAAAAATTTTTTTAGATTCCTTTATGTAATTCCAAGAGTCATGTACATGGAAAACTACATCTCCCTAGTTCCTTTACTTCAGTCCTCTGATCTATCAAAAGTGCCTTTCACTAACTGAGTCAGACAAAGTCATTTACGATAGAAGATTTAGCGAAGTAGTGCTCAGAGCCAAGTAGCTGATCCATAAATACATAATGGATGAATTAAGACATGAAAGACTTCCCTAAAAAGGTGATTAAATTTTTAGAGCTGAGAGCAGTGGAAATATTTTATTTATTGCTTGAACAGTAAGTATTACTGTGAATTTGTATTTATCATTGTAAATTATTAAATTTATCTTTCTCTGTTGATTTGACACACTCCTGCAAATTTAGAAGACCACAGCTTCATTGAGAATAAGGTTTTGGGTGTTATAATCCTTCATTGTTATGGTGCATGAAGTAACTAGTCATATTACTGTGGAAATGTCAAATAATGAGGCCTTGTGATTTATACCTTAAATCCAGCATTCTATACACAAGTCCTGGGTAGTTTTAGGTTCAAGTTGCATTACTAACCAAAGGGTTGTTTGTCAAGCACCCTGAATACACTAGTGACAACAAGGAAGAAAGATGGACAGTCTCCTGCTGTGACTTAGACCCCTAGAACTCTGTGGAGGGTCATGGTCTTATGAGTTAGAACCAGCTCATCAAAAGTGAATTTGAGATCTTTTTTAACTCAGAAGCTCTGGAGACTGTAAATCTGTGTTTCCCAAGTTCTATTTCTCAGGAACTCTAAGAAACTTATCTTTCAGAACAAGTATTTTAGTAATAATACCCTTATTCTTGTCCTTGTTTCCATAGCAGTGTGAAGAAGACAAAGCAAAACTGTGGTAATAGGTAAAAAAATTCCATGTTGTTGTTATGTAACATCAAGTCAGAAATGACGCATAGCTGACCCTCCAGTGAATTTTTAGATGCTGTAAATTGCTCAAGAGGAGATTGCCTATCTTGCTCCTGCAGAGCAGCTGGTGGATTCAACCGTGTACTTCTACCTTGGTGGGACAGCTCCATACCACGATGCCACCGGAGCTCCCTAAAAATGCCACAGACTAATGGAAAGGAGAGATTTTCTAGAATAAAATTAAGAGAATACAGTATGAATATCAAATCTCTGCCTCCTATAACTCAGATTCATGCCGTTTTAGATAGAATAGTCCTTGATAATTTTGTACAGTGAATATAAGATACAGATGTAAATATATTTCTCAGAGAGAGCTTATATTCAGAAAACTCTAATTGATAGAGCTCGACTTCCACAGCACCTAACAACAATTGATGGAAAATTTTCTGTTTGTTTTTGTGATAATTTGTGGGATTAGAACAGATGTGCTAAAGTTTCAGGGCCCTAGAAACTTGGAAGTATTCATCTGCTATCAAACAGAGATGAGTTGCCTTATCCTTACAGGGATGCCTGGTTTGGTATTCTTAGCTAATTATTGGGGCCTAGTGGGATTCGTGCAGGTTTGTAAAATCTCTCCAATCTTTTTCCAACTTGGCTGTTGCACTGTTAATAGTATTTGGTTTTGTGTTATATTTTCTAGGTTTGCTGGGATGGGGAACCTCCTCAAAGTCCTTACCAGAGAAATTGAAAACTATCCACATTTTTTCCTGGATTTTGAAAGTAAGTTCAAAAAATTAAAAGACAATGTCAGTAATATATCATTTTTAAAAATAGCTTGTTAATGAAGAAATAATGACCTAAAGATTATATAAGATATGTACACTATATCCCACTGGTATTATGGATTTCTTCGTGAAGTTAGCCAAAGATGACTTTCTTTTCTTTTTTTTTTTAATTTATTTTTTTAAGACACTCAGTGTAATTTTTTTGGTGTGTCCTAGGTTTTCTTTGTTTTTTGGTCCTCCAGTAACTATTCATCGTATGTTTTTCTAAAAATATTGATAAAAATAATATCATACTTTAAAGCAAATAGTGTAGCAATTTTCATATATAAACTTAGAACACATAACACGACAAGTTAAAAACATCATCAAAACTAGAAATAAATTTGCAGAGAATTCATTTTTTTTAACCATCTCCATTTATTCTTTATATATTGTTTGGCCAACACAATTATTCGGATTTTGAGATCTACTGCTTTTATTTGAAATATTACATTTATTTAAAAAAATACTTTTAATTTTGTTCTTAAGAATAAAATGGCTTAGGAATAAATACTAGTAATTACTTACTTAGTCTTGATAGAATAAAGACCTGAAATTATTTCTTATCTTGTTTGTTTTATTAGTTGAATTCATTTAAAAATAAATGACATTCAAGTGTAATCAGTATAAAGCTCATGTTTTTTGTTGTTCATACTACTATTTCTTTAAAAAATCCTAGAACTCCACAGTAGGCAAAACCACTAAATGTTATTTTCCTAATATTTGCCATTTGTTGAAAACTTCATCTTCTTTAAATGTTAACTTTTAAAAACATTTTATCTATATTTAATAAATAATAATGGAACTCACATTCTAACAGATTTTATAAATAAATGTCAATATACACTGATCTAAAAGGCAAATTTTCCTCATATCCTTTAGTTCATTTGTAATAGCTACTTAAAAGAAAAGAGTAGCTGCAAAGATCATGTATTCTGAAAAAAATTAATCTGGATTACAATAATGCAGTAATATTTTACTTCTGATATAATCCAATTTGTTGGTTTTGGTGCTGCAGCTATTATTGTTTCTGTTTCTATTGTTACTGTATGATTGTGTCTGCTTGGTGTGGTTTAGTTTGGTTTGATTTAGTAAAGGGTGCAGCTTGGAGCTGAAGAGCCCGATTGATTTGACACTTTAAGTGGAGTTTGCTTTTCTACTGCTCTAACATTTGCTATACCTATAGCTCTCACGAGGCCTAGTAGTAAGAAAGTGTGCCACAAATTTGAAGGCACGTAGTTCAACTCCACCAACTGCTCTGCAGAAGAAGCATGGGCATCTCCTCCCATGCAATTAACTACCTCTGAAAACCCATTGGAGGGTCAGCTATGGGTCGGTTTCAACTCAACAGCACACAACAAAAACAACATAAAGTATAGCTAGTTGCTACTGTTAGTTTGTAAAATGATAATCTATCAGCAACTTTAGAGACTTGAAAAAATAAACTATTATCCTGAAATCCTAATTTTAATCTTTATGTTTTCAATTGCTCTTTTCCACTTCTCATTATTATGCATTTATCACTGCTGCGTTCAACAATTACAAAGGCAAAAATAGTGCCTTGTTCACTCACAGTTTCCAAGGCGTATGAACACCTTGGGAAGATACAGGCTTGTTTTCTTTTTCTGAGAGCCACTTACCCTTGTGCCTGCATTCAAGAACCTGCAGGAATCAGGTGGCCTGCATTTGTCTTGTTAGCTCTTCTCAGAGTTATGACTCTCCATGTTGCTCCAGTACTACTCTTGACTTCTTTCCCGTATCTAGTCTTAAATGTCTTTAAAGTGACAGAAGTCAAATTCTTCAGAGGTTTTAGGAAGTAATTTTCAAAAATTCTCCAGAGCATCAAGTTGCCAAGACAATAGATCATGGAGCACCTACCACTAAAGCTGATGGAAATGGGGACATTCATTTCTTTGTACACTTCACCGATATTGTAACTGTAAGTCCTCTTGAAAATTTTAAAATACTTCATTTTGACAAGTGGATAGGGAATTGTACTACCAACCCAATGGCAAGCGGTTCTAATTTACCAAGTGCTCCCTGGGCAAAAGATGCACTGTAACTCCCATGTGACTTACAGCCTCTGAAAACCCACTTAGGATCAGTTTTGAATTGGTTCTGATTCAACAACAACGAATTAAGCGGATATTATGAAAACGTAAAATAATGCATATTATATTCTGCATATGTATATATAATTTCCTCATGAGGTTGAAATACAGACTGGAGTCCTGTACCTAGTGGCTCATCACAGTGATGAAAGCTGTAGCATTTAAGGGAAAATATAAATTTATACACTGTGGAAAATATGGATTATTTCCTTATAAATCCCAACAATCTGAGTAACTGTACTTCACAAAGAATGGAGTTGACACTTTGAGAAGATGATAGCTGGGTTAGGTCACGCAGGGAACTATTAGGGGAAAAACATTCTGAGTTGAGTAATGCCCTGCAAGGGTTTATATACAGCCATCTCTTTGGCTTCACACACACACACACACACACACACACACACACACACACACACAAACACACACACACACTCCCTCTCAGATGGACACACACACA